TAAATCTATTTATATAAATAACATAAACTGTTCTATCATTCATACTTGTTAGACCTAAATACAAACAACCAATCCCTCAAATATACCAAGTAAAATAGATCCCAAAGTAGTCTCTATTTTGGTTTTCAAATAGATTTCAACACAACTTCACAGAATGTCTTCAAACATATCATTGTTTTATACACATATAAGATACTAAAATCAATTGAACAATCTCATTATATATATATTAGTAGCTTCTTTCTTTTTTCATTGGCTATCTAAATGCATATACTTTAGGATCGCGTGAATTATTTGAGATCATGAAAGAATTATATTACAATATTGCCACTTTTGGAAGAAGAAAAAAAGAAGCATGCAGTATAATCATCAGGGGAGTCTTTGACTAAAGCTAAATTAAACATACCTACAGATATTGAAAGGCGTAATTTTCAAAGGCATTAGCGGTCTGAGTAATTTAATACTGTAGTTTGATTTATATTCTAGAGTCTAAGTGCATGAACAATTTTCAGTAGCATGGCAGTTTTTGTCAGTGTATTTATACTTATTTTTCATGTGACCTTTCTGAAAGTTAAAATCCGATTAAAAATGAAATATTTATCCAGCTTATTTTATTAAGATTCTGCATTGAGCAAAAATGACTACGTGTTGTACATTTTGTTGATTAATACAAGCATAAGGCTACTTGCTTGGAAGTATATTCAAAAGTGAACAGATAAACTTAAGTAGTGTTTAAAAGATTGTGAACCCTTTTAAACTGTTGATATTTCTGCATAATATTTGCACCCCACCTCACAGGATTGTTGTTGTGGGGAAAATAGGAGGAGGAGGGTGTATTGGATATGTTCACTTCCTTGAGTTATTTGTAAAAAAAATAAAGGCAGGATAGAAACAAACATGATTGGTTCTGCATACAAATTATAAAACTAGATAAAGACATCCAATTAAACAAATGAGTCAAAAAAAACTTGTTTATTAATTTATTGAGGAAAATCTTCCAGAGTCAGTTTGGTATAGCAGTTAAGGCGCTGGCCTTGGAAACCAGGAGACTGTGAGTTCTAGCCCTGCTCTAGGGATGAAAGTCAGTGGGGAGATTTTCAGCTAGTCGCTCTTAGTCCAACTCACCTCACGGTGTTTTTGTGGATAAGAGGTGAAAGTTCTACATATGTTTGCTACCTTGAGATATATATTTAAAAAGTGGGATAAAAACATAATCATCATCTTCATCTTTCTAGACTACTGGCTTTTACTCAAATAGCAGGTGGCAACCAAGCCTAGGAGGATATTTGCATAGATCCATTTTGTATACCAATTACATCAATTTCTACACAAAGTTGGTCATGCTTTGGTCACTTCCTGCCTGGATTCTGGCAATGCCATCTGGAATCCTCCCTATAGAACATCCACATAATTACATACATACCATAACAAGTCCATGTAGTGCCTCTACTTTATTAGCTGCATGGGCTGCTGGTAGGCTTCTAAAGGTAATGCAATCACCTATAAGGCCTCTATGACAGATAGACATGGAGAAAATCCATGTGGTCACTGAGAACTGACACAATTTGATAACACATAATCAATTTCCTCTTTAAAAGACTGACTTTCTGTAAATGGGCTTCTTTGTCTTTTCTGGCTAAGACCTCTTCTCAGCCATATCTCATTTATCATTTACTGTAGTTAGTTTTGAGAGATCAATTCACTGTACACAAGTCTTGATTAGTGGAGATTACATAGTTGGGATATTAAAAATTGTAGAACAGAAATAACAAAAAGGAATACAGACATTAATAAGAATACTGAGGAGCATTTTATAGTCCTATAAGCAAACCATTTTTGAAAAATATATGTCAATGAATATTTTATATCTATTATTATTGTGAATATAAATCAAGAAAATATTAACAGCTTTATTTAAAAATATGATTATCACCCAATTTGCCTTTATCCAGACACAATATGTAGTAGAATATTTGTTAGTAATATTTCTATAGTGCAAGTTTCCAAATGGATAGCCATACACAGAATTATTTTTATACGTTCCTTTGTTGTTCAACATTTACACCTCATTTATAATCAAAGGGTATACAATGAGAAATGTTTTCTAGCCATTATTCTATTTGAATGAACTGATTTAACTTTCATTCCATCTCTAACAAAAAGTAAGATGGTCTTTTTGATCAAATTACCAAGGAAGCAGCAAATAGAGCTTTCATTTATTAGAAGTATTCAAGCAAATGAAGGAGAATTTGTGTCAGGAATACTTCAATCTGGAATCCAGCAGAGTTTAGGATTGGATTTGATGGAGTAAATAGCCCCTGCCAACCTCTTGATAACCTCTCGTCATGATACATGGCTGGCCAGAAAACAGCAGCTGAATCCCATTTCACTGGAGGAAGTGCCTTCTCAGCCATAAGAGATAACAACTGCCTCTACTGAGTAAGAACATAATCTCTATTCCCCTCTCCACCACAACTTCCAGACGTCTGATACTGCAAATCAAATGAGGGCTTCAATAATGCAGCCAACAACTACTGGCATGGTGGAGGTGACCAAACTACAAATTCTGCATGTTTCAGTTGGCTTTAGAGAAGGCAGACAATCTGATATTCATAGGATCCAGTATACAAGGGTTTCTGTCTCTCTATACTTCATTTTTTCTTTATATTCCTTAATTTTTTTTTAATGGAAGTTGAAATGCTGTGAAGGGCCAGCTTCTATTATCACTCCTGTTATTACTTCCACACCCTGCATGCACCTCCCAAATGAATTTTAGCAACGTGTCATGTCTTGGTCTAGACAAAGAGGGTTAAGCATTAAATTGCTAGTGGTTGTCCAACAGATATCTCCCATTCATATGCCTACTCTTAACCTCACAACCACTCCAACTGTCAGCAGGTCCTTTCTGTTGATGTGACTGTGTCAGTGGATGGTACTGAAGGTTCTCCAGAAAACTGGGAAGGTTAGTTTTGTTCCCAACTCCTCAGAAGATGCACAACCAGATTTGATTTTTTATTATATTTTTTATATCAAAACAGTTGAAATATGTCTTGCATTGTAAATACTTCTACAGATGTTTAAGGAAAGCAAATATTTTTTCATAAGATTCAGAATTCCCCCCTTGCCTCAGATATAGAACTCAACATTAACAAGAAAAGATAACAATTCAGCAATAAGAGCTACTTATATACTGCTTCATAGTGCTTTACAGAACTCTCTAAACAGTTTATAGAATCAGCATATTGCCCGCAACAATGTGGGTCCTCATTTTACTGACCTCGGAAGGATGGAAGGCTGACTCAACCTTAAGCCCATCAGGATCAAACTCCTGGCAGTGAGCAGAATTAGCCTCCAATGCTACATTCTAACCACTGCACCATCATGCCAATTTATTATTATAATAATTCATATTTAAAAGCAGACTGATAGCTTTATTTAATTATTATCTATTAGAGTAATACCCTGTCTTTCTGCCAGGAACCCAAGAAATGTTACAAGCATTGGCACTGAAATGCTTCTGAACTCAAATCAGACTCCCAGGTTAGGCTCCTTGGTCTCCAAAATGATATATATATATATCAGTGATATATTGTCCAAAGTCTCACATACTATCATATCTTTTTCTGTGTCCCTTATCATCATGTACAAATTCACAAAATGTCCAGGGGGCAAAAAAAGTTGCTGACCCCAACTAAAAAATTATTATCAGAAACATTATAGTAATACACTTTTATTTACAATTTTTAAAAATGCCTGTTATTCCAGTTTCCTCAATTTGGTTTGCAGCAATTTACTGAATCAGTACAACTTGACAAATGTCTCACTTTTCCATTGCTAACTGAAATTGTGCTTATTTGTGAATACTTTATTTAGGCCAAAAAGATTTAGTAAATTCTTGTGTCATATATATCCAGAATAATGATTCATATATGATGATTCCCACATGTTGAATCACTAGTTTCTGAGAGATGCTCTTGGGCAAATATACAACACAAGACGCTCGTATTTCTAAATCAGCCTTCTTCAACCTAATATTCTAAGGAAGTATTGATTTATCAATATTCATTCATCCAAATAGTATGGCCAAGTTGGGGAAATATCATCTAAACCTAAATGTAAAGCTTCTATGTAAGATTGGATCTTAGTCACAAATCTAAGCCCTTTGAATAGTAGATCCTCTTATTATAGTAAGTAATATTCATCCCACCAAATATGTATTTAACTGCATTACTAAATAAAATACAATCCCATAGAATCATTCTCTTCTATTTGCTTCATAAAGCATGTTTTGTACACTACTAATAAACTTTTATTTTTCAATGAACATAATAAAAAAAATTAATCACCTATAAAGACTAACATGATTGTTTTATTGTGAATCAACTGGAGAATTAATTAGACGTAATATTTATTGCAAAATACATGCATCGAAATCAAATGTATAGTCCTTAATTGGAGCATGTTAAATCCTCCATATTTTTGTTCTGTCTTTCAATATATATTAGTGCAATATAAATATATTAAAGCTGTAGTTAGCCTAATCAATGAAATTTAGTTCAAAACAAATACTTCTAGAATCAAGATATAGATAAATCATGCTACATTTTAATAAACAACTGATTAAAATCAGGCATTTGCTATTCCATATGCTCCCTACCAATGCAGGGATGGGCCACAAATAACAGGGAGGTTATTATTATGCACAAGCAAGGTGCAGTGCTTAACCCTTTATTATTTCTGCCTGATTATCTCTTCTTGCACCCCCTCACTTTTTTTCACTAAAATCACACAGAGATTTGTAAAACATTGAAAATATAATAGCGTAGAAAAGCAGCATACTTCTATGTTATAAAATCAAGTAACAGGGAATAAAATGAGAATATGGTTCTGTTCTGTTCCTACATAACCTGAAAGAAAATAAGGTCACAGAGTGAGCTATCTTCTTGGACGAATTCTTAAAGCAAAACATTAAAAAGCAACGAAAACACAGAACAACTTACATTTGCAACATAACTTCATTTAAGAAAACTCCATCTAGAAGTGCAACATATTCTTCCAGGTTGCTAGCATTTTGTCCAGCTAAGGATCCAAATGTCTTAACCTAGAATACAGAACATATTTATCATCACTATGACATGAATTCTGCCTGTACTTGCCAAGAAATCATTTATATAAATTCCATTACTGATCAACAAATGCTTACCCAGGTAACAAGTGGGCTGGATATGAAGACCTCCAAAAGAGGTGTGAATATCTCATTTTCCATGTTTTAATAAAATATCTGAATTATAAAAGGTTAGAGGAGAAAAGTCTCTTCTTTGCGGTAATTCCGTGAAATGCCCAACGTCTTCAGGAAGAATATACCCTGGCTAGTTCCCAAATAAAATTCAAAAGTAGTCAGAGCTGTGGCAACAAAGATTTCATTATCCACCTCGTCCAAAAACGGAGCGATCGGGAGGCCATGGACGTTCTTGGGGGTTTTCGCCTACGGCTCCGACTGACTCTTTCTTTCCTCCTCTTTCCGCGCTGAAGGGGAAGGAGAAAGGAGAAACCCGACGACGATCCTACATCAGCCGCAAACTCTCCCCCCCCACCCCCCTCTCTCTAGGCTGCACCACCCCAAGCAGGCAAGCCGCAGGCATGTGAAAGGAAGCAAATTTCAAGGAAAGTCGCCCCGACAGCTAATTTTAACCCCCAGCTAGCAAAAAAGCAAAAAACAAAACCGTATGACAGGAAAGGCAGAAATCGTATTCTCCTTCCCAACCACTAGAGAAATCTCTCAGATTCAAGCTCAGAAGAAATCGCCCTCTTTCCTACCCAAGCTGATCTTTCCCCCGCCCCCTCCCCACACACACACACACACACACACGCTCCCCCCGTTCCCGGGCAGACTGGACGGCCGCCGGTTCCTGCGCTCACTCCACCCAAGAGCCTGGCGCTGCCGCTTTCTGTACCAACTCTATTTCTCGCCTCGTCCCCGCAACCTTCCTCACTTTATGGGTAACTGAGCAACACCCATCAAAAATGAAGCAGAGCCCCACCCCCCCCGCCTAGTCCCTCAGCGCTCGCAATTGATCGCTCCCCTCCCGCTCGGTTCCAAGGCTACCCGGCAGCTCCAGCCTCTCCCTTCCGCAGCTTTTTCCACAACCACGGCCCCTCGCTCACTCCCACCCCACAACAGCCGATTTCTTCGCCCCCTGAAGCCCTTATTATTCGCTCCTCCTCTACCCCAACCCCCGCCACCCCCGTTTTATTCCCCCCCTCCCTCCTAGTAGTTCAGTTCCCGGAGCGGTCCTTCCAGCCACTCCCCAGCCTACCACCCTTCCCTTCCCTTCTAGGGACTAATTTTCCGCTTGCGGGTGCACACCCACTGCCGTCTCCCTGAAGTAACGGCCACCGATCTTCAACAGATTCGCAGGGCTCACACGCGCACTCCCCTTCCTTTCGCTTCTGTAAGGAAGAGGAGAGAGAGAGAGATCCCTCCGCAAAGCAGGGGAAAGGGGGGTTGACTTTTTCTTCTTCTTTGCAGTCTGCAGGTTTCGTGTTTATTCCTCCGCCGCTGGACTGACTGATGTTGGAATTAAGGGAAGGGGAGGGACGAATATTGAGGAAGGCAGAAAAACCGCTGCAGGGCGCGCGCGAGGAGCGCACCCGAGTCGGCCGCCGCTGCAGCACACTCCGCGAAGGGCGCGCGCTGAGCAGCCTATAATGGAGCTAAAAGGAAAAAAAAAACTAGTATGCTTGGGAAGAGGGTAACATGATAAAGAGGTAGTCAGATTCCCCCCCACATACACATGACATGCCACCCAGCCAGGAACTCTGGCCTCAGTAATTATGTAATGTATGAATGATCCCTCTGGATCCTGCTTTCGCTTCATTTGCACCTTAGAAAAAGATGAGTGAAGATCAATAATATGTTATATGTAGATCTTTATGACATGAAAGAAATCGAGTGTGAATTCCTTATGTGGGGAAGGCTGGAAAGATTAAATATATTTTTGTCCATATTAGAAGGCACTAATTCTATTTCTACAATACCACCACCACCCCAAACAAAATTAGTACACCATAATCCTGTCTGCATTGCATGGATGTTGATGGGCTCTGTAATTATATATCCCATGGCTATCATTCTGTTGGAGGGTCTTCATTGTACTTAGAGGCTCTCCATCTACTCCTTATTCTCTGGCTGCTTTCTATTACAGGAGATTTCAGTTTTAAGCATCTTATGCGACTTCCAGAATGAAATATTTTAATTCCAATATTACCATTATCATCCAACTGGTGTCTTTCAAGTCCCAGTGATGGCTCTTGTACAGAGGGGCCTCTTTTTTTTCCTGGTCTCTGAGCTGTCCTTCTGAGAAGCCATTATTCCACCATTCCTTTGTGTTATGCAATTCTCCAGTATTTGGGGAGTTCATTAATACTTGATTTAAAAGTTTTCCAAATTAGGATGAACATACATAAAAAATATTGTAGAAAATAAGACTAACAATGTTATAAAGTAAGCACAACATTTCTATCACTCTGGCATTATATTTTATATTTTAAAATAATAAAACAAAAAGGCGTATACAATATAAAATCTTTTGCCTAATTCAACTCTTTCTTAGGATATTCCTTGGTCTATCATATTAAGAAAAAAAGGCAAGTCAGGTGAGAGCAGAGTAATCAATAGCTCTCTTGTAATCTAGGACACAAGAACAGAGATAACTACTGGCAGATATGTCTTCCCAAAGGTGTCATCCAATTGAACTAATTGTTTCTAGATTCAAGACAGACAAAAAAAACTCACTGTTTTATTACACTTTAGGTACCAACAAATTTATTATAGCAAAAGTTTTCATGAATTTATAGATGAATTTATCAGATGCATGAAGCATCATGGTAACATATGTATTGTATATGAAAGAGCAGACGTCTGCGTAAATATGTCTCTGTAAAGGAAAAGGTGAAATGATAAAAAAACAGTATGATACCTTGTTTCTCACAAAATAAGGCCGGGTCTTATTTTTTTTTTGACCCCCCAAAAATGGCTAGGCTGTCTTTTTGGGGGTGACTTAATTCCCCCCCTTGCATTCTCGGGTGGGCAGGCAGCAACGGCTTGGATGTTGACCTCAGTGTTGGTGGGGCACTTTGTATTGGGAGACCTTCCACCACCATTGCTTTCCCTTCTCCCTTGCTGCCGCAGCGTTTAGAGCAATGCCGTGGCATTTGGCGCAGCCATGTGCGGCCAGCCAGGGCTCCTCCCTGCAACCGGAGTCCGGCGGAGACACTCAGCTTCAGGTGCTCCTATTGCCGCCTTCCCTTTGCCTTCGAAGGTAAAGCGAATTCTTTTAAAAATGACGCCCTACTACAACAAAGACTCCCCTGCCCAAGAGGGCAGCCCAACCCCACATGGGGAGGCAAATCTCCCAGGGCCACAGCGGAGGATCAGCCCACCTCGTGAGAAGCGCCCAGCCACCATCCCTGCCCGGTGCCGGGCAGAGTGCGAAGAGCTTCGCCTGGGGCGCCCAGCGCAGCTGACAGGCGGGCCCTCCTGCCTGGCAGCAGAGCCCTCACCAAGGCAGCGAGCGCCTCCCTGCCGGACCCTCCACTTGTCCCACCAGGGCCGCGCCAGAGCCATGCGGGATGGGCAGAGCCAGGAAAGCGAGCCACGGGTGCGCGCCCACCTGCCAAGCAAAAGGGCCGGGCCGACCTGAGCTTGGCTTCCTTCCCAAGTCCCTCCAGCCCGAACCCGGAGGGGCCACCAGGAGAGGCTGGCCGAAGCAGTGATAGTGCCCACCTGTCCGCAGACAGGGAGGTGATGTGATGGCAGCGCTGCTTCCCTGGCCGGTGGAGAGAGCCCGAAGCCGCCTGTCCTTTCCACCCCTCGCCTATCCCATCCCCGTCCCCATGCATCTCCAAATCCGCTGGCAACTCCAAACGCTGCAGCGGAATGGGCATCGGGCAGAGGTACTGACTTGGCGGGGCTCAGCTCGGAGGAGGACGTGGTGCAGGCCGTCACCTTGCCTCGGATGGGTGGGCGCTATCACTGCCTTGGCCGGCCTCTCCCGGTGGCCCCTTCGGGTTTGGGCTGGATGGACTTGGGAAGGAAGCCAAGCTTGGGTTGGCCCGGCTCTTTTGCTTGGCAGGCGGGCGCGCACCTGCGGCTTGCTTTCCCGGCTCTGCCCAGCCCGCGCGGCCCTGGCAGAATGAGCGGAGGGTCTGGCAGGGATGTGCTCGCTGCCTTGGCGAGAGCTCCACCGCCGGGCAGGAGGGCCCACCTGTCAGCTGTGTTGGATGCCCCATGCAAAACTCTTCACGCTCTGCCCGGTGCCAGGCAGGGATGGCGGCTGGGTGCTTCTCCCGGGGTGGGCCGATCCTGCGTTGAGGCCCCAGGAGATTCACCTCCCCACGGGGGGTTGGGCTGCCCTCTCAGGCAGGGGGGTCTTTGTCGTACCGGTAGTATGGTGTTTTTAAAAGAATTGGCTTTGCTTTTGAAGGCAAAGGGAAGGCGGGAACAGGAGTGCCTGAAGCTGAGTGTCTCCACCAGGCGCCGGTTGTAGGGAGGAGCCCTGGCTGGCTGAACATGACTGCGCCAAATGCCACGGTGTTGCTCTAAACGCCACGGCAGCATGGGGAGAAGGGGAAGCAATGGTGGAGGAAGTTCTCCTGATACGAAGTGCCCCACCAACGCCAAAGTCAATGCAGGCAGTACCATATCCGGGTATGCAACAAAAGTACTTCCTAACGGCAAAGCCCCCCCCCGCCATTCCCCCCCATTTTGCATGTTTAATATAGGCCTTAATTTGGGGGGAGGGGCTTAATTTGATTTTATGCCACTAAAACATGCTGGGCCTTCCTATTGGTGGAGGCCGTATTGTTGGAGAAACACGGCAATTAGATCTAGCCTGTACTTAATTTACCATCTCTTTGCTTGTACAGTATGCTATTTTTTCCAGAGGACTAAGATTTACACAATTCCACTTTATAAAGCTATTTACTTGCAGAAAAGAAAAATATTAAAATCTCATAGGAAAAAGCACACAATAAAATTAAGCAGTTCATATATTTAAATAGCAAAATTTTATGTTAAAACTGTTATCATTAGCAATATTTAAATCCTTAAAACTGTAGGGAAATTAAGCAGCAGCAGTCTTTTACTATAGTATAAGCTTTACTTCTGCTAGGTAAAAGAAAAGCTAGACACAGAGGGGGAAAGGGAACTTCTAATTCATCAGCCTCAGGATATTGTGTAACAAGATGTGGGGATGATTAGCAGATTTTATTATTTTAAAGCAAATGTAAACAACTTTTGGCAGGGGGTTAAAGACCTTGTACCTTTCCATACTTCTCATGTTTCTAAAAGTCATGTTTCTTAAAAGTAACCAGGGCCAAGACACAAACACAAATTATGTATTATTTACTTTTTAAAGTATTCTGTATACTTATATTCTATTAATGTAAACTAATTAAATAGTTGGTATATTTATTCCTCGTATAGTAAAGGATTTTCCACTCCTGTCACATTAAAAATTATAACCTAGGTGAGACCATTTTTAAAAAATAGTTTTTATTAAAAGATTTTAAATTCATAATAAGAAAGAGAGTCCAAAAAAAGATATAATAAATGTAAAAGAGAAAAATGGACCCTAGGCAGAAAAAAATCATGCAGAAAGACAGAAAACATGAGAATAAATATAAATGTATGGCTTCCAATCTTGGCATTATATATACAATTCTAATCAAACTCTCTCCAATATCACATCTTAATTTCATTTTTTCTATAACCTATTTTCTCTAATTATCAAAGCCGAAAGTCACAAAATCTTTTTTAATGCAAAAATCCATAAGAAGTTTCCAGTCATTGACGAATGTCAATATTTATCTTTCTCTAATAAAAGAAGTCAACTTCACCATTCCAGCAAGTTCTTGTCAATTTCACCAACCATTCCTCCATGGTACAGAATCTTCCTATCTTTTGCATATAATAATCTTGCTGTAGCAATCATGTACTAAATCAACCTTTCATTAATCTTCTAATTGTATCCATCAGTCCTGATAGGACAAGTTCTGGCTTCAATTGTTAATCTTTAAAGTCCTCTGTATGAATCTATATAATTGAAACCATTATTTTTAGCTTTACACATGTCCACCAAGCCCAACAGAATGTCATGCTGTTCACATTTGTAACACACATACGTTCTAGATCAGGGGTATCAAACCAATGGCCCTTGGTCCGGATGTGTCTCATGCTGGCTCTGCCCCAGCAGGTTTAGCAAAGGGGAAAAAAGT